GAATTACACTCTCTGTGAAAATACAGATTAAATATGAATTAAAATCCCTGAGACATTCAGGTTCATAACTGATTTAGCTGCTGTTATATCATAATAAGTGAAGGAGAACAAATCATCAGTAATGTTGACAGGGATGGGTTAATTTTGGTTACAACTGGATTTGCTTAAAACTTATTAGAATAAACTGTAGATTGAAATAAAGTATTTTGGTACTAGAAATGATTTACTTCACTAAATGTTGCTAGCTCTTTTAAGATGATTACAAAAAGAGATTAAACACTTTTGAAATTGTTTCAAAACTTTTTATGAGCTTGAAAAGCCTTGAATACTTCCTGTCAATCAGAAACACATGTATTATTTTCTTTAAAATGCATAAAATCTTAAGAGGGGGAAAAGAAAAGTTAATGGTTCAGAAAAAAAAATGTCTTTAATCATAAAACCCAAAACGTTAAGCCATTCAAAATCTTCCGAAGTGAACGGGGCCCCTGTAAAGTAATAAGTTGGAAGCTTCTCATAAAAATGTCTGTTGTTTGGGGACCACTCAGGCATTGAAAAACAAATCTGTTACAGGTGTTGTCATTTTGGGGTAAGGCAAGTTGTATCTACACAGGCTAGTTTTGAAGGAATATAGCAGACCACTGAAAATGACCTCCTTACTCTACTAGGGATGTGGTTATTATCAAGAGAAGAGCCTAGCCAATGTTGATTTTTGTATTGTAATCACAGAATATCTTTACTTTTTTTCTTCTTGGCTTACCATATATTGGTGTTAGATGCTTATAAGTAGAGAGGATTTTCATAAAATCCTAAAATGCCAAACTGAAAGAATTCTTATAGGCAGTATAGTTCAAAACACCCATTCCAAATATGACTAAATGTAGAGCTAAAGAAGTGAGACCAACAAATTCATCCACCAGGTGTGTCAATAGTCATACAACAAACAGCATCTCTTAGTTCGTATTTCAGAGCTTTTTCCCCTCAGCCTCTGATGGAAAGTGAATGCATTAAACAACTTTACACTGATTTTAATTGACTTTTATTTTTCAGCGAAGTATTCCAGGCACATAATTGAACGATCAAGTGGCATTAAAGGCATATAAAAGTAAACAGCTCTTCCTCCTTCCTCAGACTTCCATTTCCAACTTTATTTTGGCTTCCTTCTGTTTTTCCTGTTGAGATGCACAATCCCTTTTTTATTTCTACTTCTCTGAATGTGACCTATTCCACCACATTATACCCTGTCCTTTAGGAGTTTTCTCTTCATCTCTAGTATTTGAAATTTCGTGTGTGTGTGTGTGTGTGCGCGCGTGTGTGTGCGTGTGTGTGTGTGTGTGTGTGTGCAGGGAGTGTGTGTGCTGGGTGGGTTTTCCTTTATTGGATACAATACCCCATTTCAATAAAAGAAACCTATGCCATTAGTTCTATAAAATCTCCTTCCCCTAGATTTTATCTCTCTTATTTTTATAGGCCTTTTGTTACTTTAAGTTCAGGCTCCTGAATTGATTTCCTAATTTTTTTTTTTAAGCCTATTTTTTTTAGCGACTTTTTCTTTCTATATAGCTTAGAGATTTTCATCATTTTTCGATTCCATTTCTTAATTTGAAAAAATCTTTATTGTATTTCAGTGTTTTTTCCCTTCATAATCTAGTGTCCTTGTATTTTTCTCTGCAACTAGTTATAAGAGTTACAATAAATAGAAAAATATTTACATATTTGAATTTTCTTTGTGGGGTTTTTCTCTCAAAGTTTTTTACACATTTTTTGTAGAATTTAATGTTAAGTGTACGAGAGTTTTTATTCTATTGTCGCTAGTACATATTTTCTATTTTTCTACTTAGCGTACAGAACTACAAATGATTTCATATGTTGAAATTGCATAAAGTAATCTTGCCGAACTTCAGTGTTCTAATTGTTGTTTTAGGTTCTCTTGGATTTTCAGTAACGACAAGCATATTACATGAAAATAACTATGATGTACTTACAATATGTTTACCTAATTTCCGATTCTTGTCTTTCTGCTTTGGCTATAAAATTAAGACTGCCTGATTATACTAACAGTAATGGTAACGGAGAGCATCTTGCCCTTGTTCCTGAGTTGAATGAGGATGTTTCTAAAATTTTACCACTAAGTATCATATTATATGTTTTTGGTAAATCCTTTATCAGATTAAGGAAGGTCTCTTCCCCTTAATTTGCTAAAAGTTTTTAATCATAAAAGAAATGTTGGATTTCATCAAATGATTTTATCTGTTGAAAATGATAATTTGACTTAAACTTTTTCTGTTAATATTTTTCATTACATTGAACAACAATCACATTTGAACCATCTTTATAGTTCTCATAAATCATCAGTATTATTGTTTTTCCCTTTTGCCTCAAATTCCAGTATGGCTCAGTTACTACTGTTCCTGTCATTTCAAAAAAAATGTATATTTTCATTATGGATTTTTGCTTTATTTTTGATTTAAAAAATACTATATTACTGTATACTTATCTTGAGAATGAGAATTTTTTATGTCCGCTCAAATTTTGTGCCTGAGGCAACAAAATTTGCCAACCCTGCTAGTCAGATCACGCATTTCAGACAGTGCTTATACCAACCAGATATTTTGGAGTAGACTTGGGAGTGAATCAGACCTGGTCAATCAGAAAGTCACATTTCTCTAAACACGGTGTTTGGCTTAAGGCTGGCCATAAGACATTTGGAGAGTGAGACCAGGATTATTTTTTAATTAAGATTTTACTATTACTATTGATATTGTTAGGACGTTTTAGTTTCACATCAAAATTGAAGGGAAAGTACAGATTTTTCCTATATCTCCTCTACCATAACACATGCATCGCCTCCTCCATTATTACCATCCCTCAGCAGAGCAGTACATTTGTTACAGTTGATGAACCTGTATTAACACATCATTATCACCCAAAGTCCACAGTTTACATTATGGTTCACTCTTGCTGTTTGATATTCTATGGGTTCAGACAAATGTATAATGACATATATCCATCATTACATTATCATACATAGTATTTTCTGCCCCAGAAATCCTCTGTGCTCTGTCTAGTCATCCCTTCCTCCCCCTATCCCCAGCCCCTGGTGACCACTGATCCTTTTACTGTCTCCATAGTTTTGCCTTTTCTAGGCAAGTGTCATATATTTGGAACTATACAATATGTAGTTTTTTCAGATTGGCTTCTTTCACTTGGTAATATGCATTAAGGTTCCTCTATGTCTTTCCATGGCTTGGCAGTTCATCTCTTTTTGGTGCTGATTAATATCACATTGTCTGGATGCAACACAGTTTATCCATTTATCTACTGAAGGACATCTTGATTCTTTCCAAGTTTTGGCAATTAGGAATAAAGAATAAAACTGATATATATATGTATATATATATATAAAACTGGTGTATTATATATATATCTCATATATATGTGTGTGTGTGTGTGTGTGTGTGTGTGTGTGTATGCAGGTTTTTGTGTGGACTTACATTTTCAACTCTTTTGGGAATACCAAGAAGCATGACTGCTGAATGGTGTAGTAAGAGTATATTTAGTTTTGTAAGAAATTGCCAACTGTCTTCCAAAGTGGCTGTACCATTTTGGATTCCTACCGTCAATGAATGAGGTGCTCTTGCTTTAACATCTTTGTCAGCTTTTGATGTCAATATACCTAATTTTAATCATTCTAATAGGTGTGTAATAGTAGTTAATTATATAGGAGATGGTTGGTAGAAATACATATGGAATGGAGTAAACATAGAATATATGGATTGTAAGGCATAACACACTAATTTGTTTGACAACTAAGAAATCATAATACATGGATACACATTTGTTATTGAAGGGGTAATTAGCAAATCCTAACTAAAAGAGGTGAGTAGAGTAGATCTTGTAGAACAATTGTTTCCTTTGTCTTAGAAGTCTTTATTTTTGCAACTAAAGACCATTATATTTTTTTGAAGTATAAAAAAACTTCATGACTACAACATTCATATTTTATTATTCAGGATAATATATTTTATTTCTTATACTGTAAAAAATAAAATCATTTGAGCAGTTTTCAGCACAACCTGTTAATTTTGAACAGAGAATAAACAAGGTCGGTAAATATATGTATATGTTTTATAAGGTAATTCTATATAAAATTCACAGTTACATCATTTGATTATGCAAAACAAAGGAAGACAATACCACCATAAGGGAGACCCTTATTTAAAAACACAGCAAAAATAATATTCACATGCATTAAACATTGCAAACCATCTCTCAGTATGTATCTTTCTTGACTAAGTAATGAACTCACGAATGGTTGTTGGGAAAAATAGTCAACTCACCAACTTGTTATTTATATGACCTTGATGGTAACTTGCCACTTGACCTAAGACTTTTTTTTTAAACTGCTATCCACATATAAAAGACAACAGACATATTTCACAAAGGATTTTGATTTCCAAAAGTTTTAAAATCCACAGCAAAGATCCTGTTTAAGGCAGTAACTTATATACTAAATATTTGAACTCAAGATGTAAAATTTTTCTTACGTGAACTGGTTAGTACAATAGGAGAAAAAGTATGTCTAAGGAGGGAATCGCATGACAGAACTGTGTTATTACCAGCTCTTTCCAAATCACAATTGAGTGATCTTTAGCAGAAGAAGGTGCTTGTCACCATTTTAGATGTGAAACTCCAAAACCACTTGATCTTTGATAGCTGTACTTCTTAATCTGGACATAGCCTATAAAGAAGATCATTGTATACATAATCAAAACAAGTAAGTGACAAAAAACACACTCTCAAATATATGATTACCAAATAGTAAAACAGACTTACTTGATGTGGCCATTAGTATGATAATTTGTATGTAAATGGCAGAAAGTTAGAAAGGGAATCAAGTGAATAAGAAAATTCATAGGAGTCAGTTAATAAATTATAGCTGTAAAATAAGCAATCTGATTAGAAAAAGAACTCTGGTGCAAATGTATTAATAGCAGGTAATATATGCATAGAAAATTCATGAAAATGTTCATTAAAAAGATTTCAGGAAAGAAAAAAATAGGAATCATAGTGAAAAGTTTTATCCAAAATATTTAGTAGAAATGATGTTGTAATATAACAAATTTATATCTTTTTAACAAAAATTTCTTCATATACTATTTTCACTGGCTGCTGCTTTCTTTTTCTTTTGGTTTTAATTAATCCTTCCTTTGATATTCTTTGTATGAAACCTACAAAAGGAAGATAAACAAATTTATGCATGATAAAGTAACACAATAAAACTTTTCATGTAAAATTTCCTTAAATTAGTTTTTAATGCTTAAAAACAAAAAAAAATTGATTTGGTTTAAAAGCCTTTAATCTGTCTATGTCTTTGTGTAGAACAATCTCTTCCAAAGGAAGTCACTTTGCATATATTAGTAAAAATGGGTAAACATGTTATTGATTTTTACTATTCATATTCAGTTAGAAATCATGCTCATTTTATTAAAGTGGACATGTGGCTGTATATGGTTGGTGAAATTATAGATGATTTTTATTTACATATTAATACTCTATAAATATGCATTATTTTTATATTTATATTTTTATAAATAAATAACAGTAAAATTTTGGCACTAGAAAGCATAAAGATATTTTGCTATATAATCCTTTAAAATGAAAGCTTAGTATGTAAAAATTAAAAGAATAAAATATTTTGTTTACAATTGATTCTTTTTCTTGGAAGACGTTAAAAACAACTGCAGTTAACATATCTGGCAATGCTATCTAAATGTAGTTGAAAAGGGGAAATTCGTTAGCTAAATCATAATACTGTGTCTTATCATAAATAAAACTAATTTCATGGTATTTTTCATAGATTAAAATTCATTCATAATTTCAATACAATTTTTATCTTAAACACTAGTGAATTAATGAGAGTAATGTCGTCTATACCTTTTTTACAAGTCCTGAGACATGCTTTTTTAGAAGTAAAATTGTTTTCATTCCCTCCGCATCCACTGTACTTAAATGGGCGGCATTTCCCAATGCTTGAATTGTAGTAGAATCTGCTTTCGTTGGCTTGACACAATCCTCTGTCTGCTGGGGTCAGACACCAGGAGGGGCCATAATATTCTAAGAACATCAATAAAACAGGGTAAGCCATGTCTGATAGTTAATCCCAAACTTTCATATTTATTGTTTATAGACTAGTCTTGTGACATGTTTATGTAAAACAGTAATCTGAATAAATTAAAGTAGAACTTAGTAAATTTCATGTATTTCAATTCCAGGAGAATGCTTAACCAATCTCCAAGTGTCCACTATACTGAGATCTTCAACAAATAAAAAAGTAGATATATTGGTGATTACTCTTTATATGACAAAAGTAGTTGTACATAATGTAAACAACCACTGCTCAACAATTTAACTTGTGGAAATTTGTTAACCACATCCATTTAAATAATTATCAATGTTTACGTATCATTTGTTCACAAGTATTCAATTTTGTGATAAAGGTCCTGATGAGCAAAATCCTTATTTCATTCTATGACACAAACACTGAAGCTGAGAAACAGTTCCTTCCCTTGACCTAAGTTCTAAATGACATATCACTATGTAACACACAGGAATTTACATATAGCAAATTCTACCCTTAGGCTTTAGAAAAGTGCAGAAGAGATGATTTGGCTTAGAAGTAAAGTTTTCCTGTGAATTGAAGTATCAGTTTTAGATGAGTTAGATATTTTTGCAAAGGAAAGAATATTGCTAAAGCCAGTAAGATCAAACATTTACAGATTTAAACCAGACAGGCTGGTCTGTCAGTGAGATCAACCACTTTCAAAAACAAAAGGGAAAAAAGTACAACTTGGGTAATGAAAGGATCACTCATTTCTTTGATGCAAAGCAGAAAAATGGTTTCATCCCTCCAGAATTCCTGTCAATGAGGACAAGCTGGTACTCGTTAGCAGGAGAGCTAAACTGCTTCGTATCAGTAAACCCAAACTGCAGGTATACTGGTGTACAGTCAGGAACTTGGTCGCTTTGCCGAATAGTGAGATGTGGCACAGCAGATTCAGACGAAGAGTATTTGCTAAATGTAGAACATTGGCAGAAAACAGAACTTTAAGGAATCCAGTAGCAATGAAGGTAAATAGATTGTACACAAAGCAAGAAGCAGTTTGATGGTCAGTGTGAACCACAGATAAATAGACTGAAAAAGGGATAAAAGAACTTGAGGAAAAAATTTTTAAAAACTTTATTGATAAACACGTTTTTATAACCCCCTGCCTTCTAGATAGTTAAAGATTAGTGTGTCTTGATATAATGGCTCATGTAATAGAGAAATTCTGGAAACTATAAGATAAGGAGTGGGAATTCTAGGGGGGAATTTATGATACAACATTTTAGAAAGGTGACATTCTGTGCCAAAATTGAAGAACTAAAGTCATGTAAAAAACATTTGAATTATTTAGTCTTTGACTAGGTCCATGGACACTGTGATTTTAAAGAAACTCCTAGGATCTATAAAACTAAAACATCATTCGAAATCTTGTAGTCTAATTTATGTGTTACCTCACCCTACTTAGGAGTTATGTTGCATGATTACTGCCATCATAAATCAAAATTAAAATGTATTTGGTGAGAATGTGTGCTTAATTTTCTAGAAAATGTTGAGGTCTCCCGTTACCAACAATGGTTTATGAAAGAGGAATTTCCTAACATGCTAGGAGAGATACATTGTAATTGAGCCCTACTATTGTGCAAGCTTTTCCAATATGTATGTTATGGATTCTCATCAACCCACAGCCAAGAAAGATGAATATCAACTGCCACCATTTCTAATTCCATGAGCTTTCAAGGTCATCACCTATGTTCAGAAACAAAAGAATTACCCCACAAGCAATTAGCCAGATTTGAGACATAGAGAAGGCAGAGAAAATTGCTATTCTCTTTAAATAAATATTCTCAGAAAGCACTGCAGATACTTCATAGGAGATGTGTAAGTAGGATGATAAATGATTTATACATCAATTTCAATTTAGCATTTTGTACACAAGATGTATGAGCCCACAGTAAGTTGAAAATAGTAATACAGATGTACTTGTAAGTTGTACACTTCTTTACAAATGCTAGTTATTATGTCTTAATAGCAATGTTTCTACCTAAAGTTTCTTATTCCAGGACAAAGAGAGTTTTCTGATGACAGAGAACAAATTCATCCTTCTTTTTGCCTAACACACAACCTACAGTTAAACTGGCCCCATAACAAAATCAATGCTATTTCAAAGTGCAGGTAAGTTGGCTTGGTATATCTGGGGCTATGGTTCCTAGATTGAAGGTAATAAGGGAGGTACCTCTCTTATCATAGGCCAGGAGCCTGGAATATCAGGTGAAAGCTAGAGCCAAAAT